CCACTCAGCCTCCTCTTCTCCAGGGCATCTCCTCACCGCTTCAGCACAAAGTCATCRGTTTTGGCTAAATAGCCCTGAAGATACCTCAGGACACCGCAACAAAAAATGGGCACAAATAAACCACAAAGTGATTGGGGCCCATGGTGTTGCCTGCGACCATGCAGAGAGAGACTGACAGTGACCTGCCACCTAGACGGCAAGGTCTTTACTGACGGTGATCACCACCAATCTATATTTAGCAGYGGTAACAGTTGGAAGCAACAGTTCAGCAACACCCCAAAGGCAAGATGTGGCATCACGGAGAAGCTTTGGGAATAGGCAAAGAAAAATTCAGGCTTGTGAAGGGACACTATAATAGCAGATGAAGGCAAAGGAATTTTGCTACTTGGTGTAGCAACWAAAAGCCAAAAGCTATTGCTGTTTTATCAAGATGACAAGAGCTGTTTGTTTAGAAGAAAAGAAAACAAACATCTTTTGGCTGCTGGCTCTGAAGCCTGAGACATGCAGCAGATCTAAAGGCACCTTTTCAGGCAACAGGTAGCAGCTTGCCAGAGAAACAATAATAAATTAGGAATACCAGCAGTAAAGAAAAGAGCTAACAGGAAAGATAAAAGTCAGTGCCTGTCTCGCACACCAGTCCTGACATCATGTTTCATCCACTCTGCCATGCACGTGTTTAGGCAGCCACATCTCTGGAGGAGCAGGCACAGCACCCACTGCTCGCTTATCTCAAATTCAGTGTGCTCCAAAGAGCAGATAGATACAGGCTGCCCTACGAGACAGTTACATATGTTTGCTTTAGCAGTTCTCTTAAAATAGCATAAAACTCGAAGTCAAAGCTGCAAAAGCCAAGATGCTACAGCTGCAAGAATTGTGCGTGCGCTGTACGAGCTGTAAAAATAACAAAAACATGTTTTCCTGAAGCACTTGCACTAACAACCTCAGTAATGAAGCTTATCCAAGGTAACTGCTTGAGGAAGTTTTCTCCAGCAACAAGCACAAAATTCTCTTAGAGCAAGAATGAGCCTGGAGCAGGTAATGCAACTTAAGTCGTGGCCTTTTGCGTGGGGATTTGGGGGCAGCATCTTCCCAGTGGCTGCAGAAAGAGCTGGAGCCTGGAGTTTCCCAACTCCCTGGGCTGCRCTCCGCGCTCTCTGCTCCAGTCTCTGTGCACAACCTTCAGCAAGGTATTTAACTGCTCTGTCCTTTCCTTTACTCCTACATAAAACAGAGCAGTACAGGTAAAAAAATCAGGTTTGGGATGATGGGGGTTTCTGCTCTCTGCATTGTACCAAGCACCCGCTGAGGCAATGCAGGACCTGCTATAAGTTTCCACAGAGAAATAACGTTTGAGCCATRTGGTCTGGTCCTGAACACGCAGAATTGCACACACACAAAGTGCCTTCATCCCCGTGTGAAGCTGCCCTGAGGTGCAAACCGAAGAGCTCAAGACAGGAGGAGGGCAGAAGGTGACCACAACCAACAATCTAACACCCTAACTGGGTGCCAACACCAAGTAACACCACATAATAGTCATTATAATGACTATTAATTGACTATATATATAAAATTTATATATATATAATAATAATAATAATAGTAATTTGCTATAAGCATGGCTCCTGAATAAGATTTTATAAGGATACTACAAGTCTCTTCACAGAGTCAGGAAATATATTTACGTCCTGGCCTACTAAAATTTTGACCTCTTCAGTATTAGGATATTAGGAAGTAGAAAAAAATACAAAGATTTCTTTCTGCTTACTTAAAGTGAGCAGCTCCCACTCGGCCTTGGCCCCGTGCTGTCCCTGCCCAGCCACAGAAACGCACACAGAGCATTTATATTTTTGCTCCTTAGCAACAGAGCAGCTCTTGGGTTTTTCTGTTTCGAATCTATATTTGGTGCCCTAGGGAAACTCCTCAGCAGAAGGCAGTGAATTTTTAAACATCGAGATAAACGGTGGGACTCAAGTGCACTGAGGATAACAGTGAGACAGGTCCTTTGGTTAAGGGGAAATGCTCAGACTCGGGGCTAGCGGGAGTCCTCCACCGTATTGGGGCAAAARCACCCTGAGATTTCAGTATAACACGGCAATTCTGAACTAAGATACTGCTCTTAATGTGACTCATGGAAATATCAATATCCCTCTGCTCTCTACAGCTCCCAAGCAAACACGCCAATTACATTCTGCCTAATCTACATGAGAAAAACAAATAACACCTGATGTTTCCCAACGCTGCGAGCAGCGTGGCCTTTAAAAAAAAGATCAAATCATAGGAAGGGCAGAGAAATCACATAGCTCTGCAGCTTCACAGGTTGTCATGGAAAATGAAAATCCCTGACTCTCTGGCTTGTGTGTTTTGGAGGAAAGGGAAAGAAAGAAAAAAAGCCTTTTCTTTTTTTCCATGACAAGAAAGGACTGTTTTCCTAGCAATCATTCCTGAACCTCATGTGTGCTCTATACAATTAGCTGCTTTTCCCAGGAAAAACGYGACTTACTGAAGGACTATCTGAAAGGCAGTGAATACAGGCAATGCAGCACAAGTGGACATGCACACCCAGGTAATGAGAACCATGTGCTTTTATTTGTGGTGGCTTCTTGCCTGCCAAAGAGACTGTGCTGAATTAACCGCTGGGATCTCAGGGAAGATGGGGGATGGTGTCAAGGGGACCATGCCAAATCCCAGTTTCCTCTCCCATTCCCGTGTGCCAGGGAAACTCAGCATCACGGCAACATCTCTTGCCCTCATTCAATAACGGAAGCTGCATGACCAAGATTAAATAAGTTTAGACTAAAATAAGTTTCAGAATAAATAAGTTTGGTGAGAAGAGGTTTAGTAAATAGAGACAGGAGGTAATTTGGCTGTAATCAGCCCTGGAGAGCTGCTTTTTTTCTAACAGTTCTGTATTGCCTTTAGTTCTTTGGCGGGGTGCTAAAAGGCTGGGAGGTCCAGGACACCCACACGACAGATTTAGCAGATTTATACCACCCTTTTCACCAAGGGGCTTGTCCAGTCCCATTTGCTCACATCCCTTCACCTCCTGAAATCTCTCTGATACCGGGCTCCAGGCAAGGCSTTGGAAGGGTCAAGGGGACCCTAAGGCAAATGGTCATTACACTATGTTGCAAGGCTGCTCCTCTGAGGGTTGGGAGTGTTTTGCACCACACTTCCCTCMCGTCTCGATGGCAAGCAGGACAGCAGAAGTTGCACAACGGCACACATGTGATTTGCTGGAAGGCAACCCTTCCCTTACTGAAAAACACAGGCTCCCAGACCGAGATTTCAAACCACTCAGAAGATTGTGTGCGTGAACACACAGGGCAAGAGCTGTCACCGTTAGCACCTCGGGGTRACCAGCATTTACCACCACAGGCCCTTGCAGAGCCCTCGTATGTTAACCCTTACCCCAAACAACATCTCAGAGAGGGAGCACTGAGGSTGCTAAAATCACTGGAGCTCCCAGCACATTGCAGAAGACAGGGAGGCTCCAGGCTTTGGAAATCAGACAGGAAGACAGAGGACAGGGCCTTCCCACACAGCGATGGGCCAGGACACCCTTCGGCACCCGGCATCTTTCCCTGCAAGGGTGCCTGGCGAGCACAGTCAGCCCTCCAGCTGCTCGAGGCCTGGAGCGTTCCGGAATTCCTACACAAGTGGGTGGAGGCTGGAAGGGAGCAAGAACAGGACAAAAGGGGAATTTAAAAAATAAATTAAAAAAAAAATAGGCTGAGGAAAACAAAGGAAATTAAAAAAAATAATAATAATACAAGTGAGAAGAATCCTGTTATTAGACTGGAGTTGCTTGGCAGTGCTGGAGGACAGAGTAAAGACGGCCACTTCAGCCCCCTGCGCTTCAGGGATGTGACGGAGTGTCTGTCATCCTGACTAGGAGACCRGTCCTGAGGCGCCTGCCAGCCAGTTACACGCAGGGTTCCCAGCCCCGACAGACGATGCCGCGAGGTTTTTTAAAATAAGTGTTTCAGTCACGGAAAAGATGCACTGTCAGCTTCAGGAATACATATATATACTCTGACATTTTTCTTCAGGAAATGGCTTTTCAAAAGAAGTGGCACGCAACAAACGTGCTGTCCTTGTGCCTAGATGCCAGTATGAAACATCTTATCTTTATTAGTCTCTTGCAGCTCCCTAATTTTATACAAAATAATTCAAAGTGCCACTGTTTGTTCTTTAACGGAATGGTCAGCAGTTTGCCCCAAAAAGATTATTTGCAATTCAAAACTGAATATAAAGCATTTTTATTTAGTAAAGCAAAGAATACCTTCTTAAGGGTTTCAGCTAGCCATCTATCCTGTTAAACACACACGGGCTGGAGCCTTACTGCTCCAGCACAGTGAGGTGAGATTAAAACCACACATCCTGCAAGGCTCTCTTAAGAACTTATGCAGAAGCATTACCTTAAACTTCAAGTTCAAAGGCAGATTTCCAACATTTCTGGTTTCTCTCACCTTCTCCCTGAGCAGAGTGAATTTGCAGAGACTTGCAAAAACTTCTTTTCAATGAGTTAATTCCTATCAGAACAACTTAAATTTCAGTTTTGAATCCTCTTTTCAGTCTACTACAGTTTAAATTTAGCCAAGTTAAAGCAGCACTTGATACATGTATGATAAGAAGCAAAAGAGAAGCTATTGTAGTAATAAGGAATCCAGGGTTGGCAACAAGGCTTGTGGAATGGGGCTCCTCTGGAGGTATTTGTTTAGCTGGCAGTACCCCAAATTGCTACAGATTACACTGAGAGGAAGTTCCATTATCTGCAATACCTAGATTTTTTTAAAAATATAATATTGGTGAGAAAAAAAGCCCTGCGAGGCAGTTTCTGATGATGGTTAAAAAAGGAATAAAGGAAGGATAGATAGATAGAATAAAGGATAAACATAGAATATATGGCTATATCAAGGAAAAGATATATAAGGAAATAAAAGGATTTATGAAAAGACAGGGAAAATATGAAGGACAAGATGGATGTGGGATAAAAACACCCGGACCGATACTGCGGATACTGTGCAGCCAAGGAGAGCTGGAAATTCAGGAGTCCATCGAGAGGCAGGAAGCATCACGGAGAAACGTGTTCAGAGAGAATGGGCTGACAAAAAACCATCCGTGACCCTGGGAAGACACTCGCCAGCTACCTGTGGAGACAAACAACCAGGCCGTTTTCAGGATTATTTCTGCCAAAAGTTAGGAAACGCTCCATTTTCAGAAGGACAAAGGAGATACGTGTCCTGGCAAAGCTGTGTCCGACCCGTGAGTCTCCATTCAACTGCTAAGCACAAATCAGACCAGGCTGCAAACCTTGGTGCCAGCCTGAACAACAGTCACTGCAGCACATTGTACAAGACATGGGATAACTATGGAAATTCAGGCACTAAGTGACAAGCAGCACATTTGTGGTGCAATACAAGGCGACAAGTTTAAGCACTGCTTTTGGCGTAGAAATTGGCTCATGGCAAAGGCAAGAATTCAGCAAGACAGGATGGGGTGGGGGAAAAGTGGTTGTTTTTGTAGCTCTTGGAGTGAAGAACTTCATCTCTGCTGAACAAATCCCAGCTCTCGCTGCGTGCTCCCTAATCCGCTCCTCTGGGTCACTGCTCCGCGTCGGCTGCTCTGCAGTAGCCTCACATACTGCCCGGGGTTAAAGCTGGCAGCTCCGAGCTCTCACTTAAATTGGTTGGAGTTTCTTTTCTTGGCAGCTAATACCCTCTCTTCCTGCTCCTGCTCGCCATGAAATTGGGTAAGTGCTGAACGAGGCTTCCCATGTGCAATAGGAGGGCGGCGGATAATGAGGATCCTGCAGGAAACATCGTGTTTGCATTTGGTGGGATATTTAAACATGGTCAGACAAAACAGTGCATGGTCTTATGGATGTGCCACCGTATGCTGGCCCCAAATGCAGCAAAATAAGGTCCTGCACACAACTGCAAACACTCTTGATATAATTCATCATGGGACTAATCCAGATCCCTGCAGTAATGTCACAGGAGAACTGGGAAGTTGTGATTGGAAATATATTATTGTATTAAGGTTAAATTATTCATTCTTTATGCTATTACAACATCCACCAACACAACCATGAAAACAACCTGAACATCAGTTTAGGTCTTTGAGAAAGCAAGTGTTGCATATCCCATACATGTGGCTTTTCAGCTCTCAGACTGCTCTTCTTCTTCTTCGCAGGGCTACCAGGATGATCAGGGGCCTGGAACATCTACCATATGAACAAAGGCTGAGAGAGCTGGGTCTGTTCAGCCTGGAGAAGAGGAGGCTGAGGGGGGACCTGATCAGTGTGTATAAATACCTCAAGGGAGGGAGGCAGTGAGGAGGAGGGGGCGGCCTCTTTTCAGTGGTGGGCAGTGATAGGACTAGAGGAAATGGCTTCAAACTGAAGCATTGGAAGTTCCACAGGAACTTAAGGAAGCATTTCTTCACTGTGCGGGTGACAGAGCACTGGCACAGGCTGCCCAGAGAGGTTGTGGATCTCCTTCTTTGGAGATCTTTAAAACCCGCTTGGATGCAGCCCTGTGCCACGTGCTCTAGGTGACCCTGCGTGAGCAGGGGGGTTGGACTCGATGACCTCTGAGGTCCCTTCCAACCTTCGGCATTCTATGATTCCATGATGATTCTATGATTCTCTTTTCTCCTGTTACTTGCTACTTGCCTGTATCTCCTTGTGCATGTCATGACTTGCATTCATACCAGGCTGTACAAAAGGTGGCACAGATTTTAAACCATAAAAAAAGTGATGTGTTTTAGAAGAAATTATTACTGTTTCTCCAGTATGTCATGTGGAAGGAGACCTGCTGGCATTTTCCAAAGGTCAGAGATAAAACATGAAAACTTTACTCAACATTTAACTCTTGCAAGCAGCAAGCATGGAGGCAAACTCTGCTTTACACCATCTTGACCCAACTTCTCTTTCCAGTCTGCAATTTTTTTTGTTCTCCTTTGATTCTCAGTCTCAATACCTGCCTTCCTCCATCCTTACACTGTGTTCTCTACATTTTTGTCTTTGTCTATTTTTGTCCTTGTTCTGACACATCACTTTTCAAGTAGTAAGTCTTACGTAAGAGTTATGGCTCCCAAAATTGAGAAGACAAATCTTTCTTCTTGCTTCTCTCTCTATCCAAGCTCAGGAGCTCCTCCCGGCTCCACAGTTTTCCTGCAGTCTCTGTCCCAGTTTCCTGCCGGGGACAGACCATATTCCACCTTTCTGCAACTATCCCAATCCTCCTCCATCTGCCCTAGTGCCACCTCTCTCCCCAAACACACAGAAAAATGATTTTGCTTCTAAGTTAGTGCTCAGTGGGCACTGCTGAATTAGAGCAGCGAATGGCAAGAAAAATACTATTTTTCCTTGGTCTCCCGGTTAGAAGGCTCCCCGACAGCAAAAGCAGCACTGAGGCTCTTGGCAGGCTCAGGGCCCATTTGCATTTGGAAAACGTTCACACTTGATGCACCAGTTTTCCAACTTAAAATAAACAATATCCACCTCCCTCTTCTTAAACCCTCTCCTCCTTTTGATGGAGAGGGCATCACTACTCCAGCCAAAGCCCGGCCAACACAACACGCTCATTCATCTGCAGTCCCAGCTTAAGCCGTGCTGCCAAAAGGGCTCTTTCCTGCGGAAGCGCCACAGCGAGTCCTTTCAGGATAAAGAAACTCCCTTCAGAATTAATCCAACCCAACAGCCCTTCACATCTTCCTTGGCCATCGTGGATCATTAGCAGCTACTCAAAGGCCCCTGTTAATGGACAATTTTGGCGGTTTGTAACTTTGGGGTTTCCCTTTCTTCCTCCTCAATTCCACTGGCTCACCCCATTACTCTTCATATTTCTTTACCAGTCTACCCCACATGCCACTAATTATTGCCAACACATAAGCAGCCATTTATCACCGCCATGAGGTGCCAACTATCCCTTCTCCATGTCGCTTCCGAGCTGTTCCGAGACAGCTACGATTTCTGCAAGAAACATTAACACACACAGATAATCCAGCAACCCTGGAAGTGACACTTGCTTGATTTCCTTTTTGGGCTCTTTGGCTAAGAAGTGTTTCAAACTTAGCTAGACCTTCATCAATGACTATCTCATCATGGTCACAGAAGTTTTCACCCTGTACAACTTCACGCTGTCAAACACATGACAAGGCTCTTGAAGCTTGCAGTAATTTAGCAATAAAAATATTGCTCTGCAGAAATGTTGGTCCATGCACCACTCATTTTTCCTCAAGTCTGATTCACAGATGTTCCAGCTCCATCAGGCTGAGGCTGTAAATCTGCTGTAAAGCTCCTTGCAAACCACGAGCAAAGAATTCAGAGGAGCGACCTGAAAAGGGTAATGAGACATTAGTAGGTGTTTTCAGGGAATCCTGTGACTGTTTATAGGGAGATCTTCCCACGTAAGAGCAAAAGGATGATGGAGAGTATGGAGACTTGTCTAGGAGCAGTCAAAATAGTGATTAAGAGCTGGTCTTTTGCAAGAAGAACATGCAACTGAAAACACACTGAAACACATAGCCCAGGGAAGCATTTTGATTCAGACAAAATGATACTTTCTTTAAAAAATAAGGAAGTTGGAGGGTAAAATGTCAAAATTTTAGTCCAAGCTTAAAATATCAGAACTACAAAGTCTCATACATTATTTTTTAAATTCAGTTATTGAGAATAACCCACATTCTCAGCAACATACATATCTTAGCACATAGCAAATGCATCTAGTTTTGGCATACAATTTTTCCAACACAACCCCATCACCATACATGTCACAAAAACATTAAGATTCAGTTAATATATCCTCCATTTAGGAAAGGCACATAAATTACAAACTTCCAACAAGGAGAATATGCCGATTACTATAGGGCATTCTCTGCAGTAATTCTCCTCCTAAATCACACCACTTGCCTTGTCTGTTTGAAAGATGCATTTGAAATGATCAATGAAAAAATAAACTTTTGTAATTAGCAATGCCCAAACTTCTGGTGTTGAGTTTGCTCACACATTYGCAGCGTTATCTCTTTCTACGTAGCACTGCTTGGACACCAGGGACACCTCCCCACACAAGGTTCCACACAAATCAAAAGTCCATCCTCCTCATTCATCGGGTGCACAAATAGCAGGTCCTGCTCGAGATGTTACACAACGTCATAAGCAGAGGTAATGAAAAGCTCAGAATGAGGAAGGCTGGTTGTCCATGTCACAGTGCTGCTTGCACATCGGCCTCTCCTCTAATTAGTGTAGTGTTTCCTACAGGAATCGATTGCAGCAATACGGATGAATGAGATTCTAAAACTGAAAAAAATTGCTGCATTAAACATTAATGTAGTCATTGACTGTCATCGATATAGATATTTAAAGCACAGGCCTGAGGTGGTGGTGGTGGGAGGAGGGCAGAGTGACTGCTTAGCAGAATATAAAATTTGGAGGGGGTTAAATATCTACAAAGACCAGAATTCCAGGCACAGAGCTTTATATAGACTCAAAGCACCACAATACACCAAAAATATACATTCACCAGCCTGCTTTTAACATTCAGGAAGCACATTTGCTGTTTTGTTTTTATTGTAAAGGCTGGTAAAGCACATAACTCAGAGACAAAGGCAGGAAGCCCAGCCCGGACCTGGGGTATATTGACTGTTCAGTTCTCTATGAGCCCAGACCAGGCCTAAAGACCATACAACCAAACCTCTTCTCCCCACCAAGCGGACTTCAATGGGCATTTCCAGAGGTATCCGAGTTCAACAAGCTTCCCTCTCCTTAAAGCACTGGCATTTGCCCTGTAACCAAGGTGGTCTGACCCCAGATTTGGCCCTTTTTGCTTGGCTGCAGCTGACTGCTCACTCAGCGTGTTAGTGCTAACCCACCTATAGACCCTGTAGCAGCCACACATCTCCCCGTACGGTCCCACCACTGCTTCCAATTGTAGCTGCTAATTCACAGGACTGTTTTCTGAACCTCTCCAGGTTGATTTTAGTGGCCCTGAGCCCTTCTAACTTCAGTATTCAGCCCCAGTACTGAAGGTGCTGAGAACCTCTTCAAAACATGTTCTCACCTAGGTGTGTAAAGGCTGAGGATCCTCTAGTTAATAAGGGACTAGGCAACCCAAGCCTTACATTAAGTCCTTCAAAGCAGCAATGTGTGA